CTTTTTTTTCTTTACCTAGTTCAGAAAGTTGCGTCTAAGCTAACTTCTCTAAATAAGAGATTATAAAAGATTAATTTAAAAGTTAACTTTCTAGCACTCTTCTGTAGCTAGAAATGATATTTGCGACAATTTTTTGCTTGTGTAATTTTACGTCCTAAAAAAGTACTTTAAAGTGTATAAATAAGTTATCCGGGCAATTGATTTACATCAGCCAATCAAACGAATTTCTGTCTATAAACTAAACTACGCCTAAAATCAAATTTCTATTTGTTAACTAAAATTAGCTACACAAACAATAAAATTATGCAGCACTACATATAATTTGAAATAAAAATAAATCATATTTCTTTATTACCAACTTTAAGCACGATGCTTACACTTTGAATTCTTTGGATAACATCCACTTCTACACACAATATTTGCTTTTTTGCAAATACATCTTGCTGTAAGACAATCACATTTGCAATTGCATACTTTGTTATTAGCAAGAGCGTTAGATTGCAATCTTGCAGCTTCAATCATACTGACAGTTGTGGTGGTTGGAGGATTGTCCAGCTCCGGGAATTCTTTTGGTCCAAGTAATAAAACCACACCAGCCAGAAATGTTTGATCAAGAATTCCAAAATAGCATACAAGACAATACATATTTCTGGGAAGCACTACAAATACTTTGCAAGGGAGTGCACAATGATCACCAGGCCCATAGTCAATTTTGACAACCTGAATTTTGACCAGATCATCAACTTCATAAACACGTTCATGAATGTTGTACTTTGTGTATATCTGGCGTTTCATTTTGGAACAATAGTCTTCGAGATTTTTATTTGCAACTTGTTGATAAATGTTATGCTGAGAAGTTGGATTATTTGAAGCTTCTTGAATAGCCTGGATATGACATTTTTTAGGAGAAACATAATTATTTGAATTAATAGAATCTTGATTTTCCTATTTATAAATAGAAATTTAAATTGTAATTAATAAAAATTTAAAATATCTTAAAGAAAATACTGTAAATCTTATAACAAACCTTGTCTTTTGAAATTCTTTTTTGATTATTTGTTAAGTCATCTTGCACAGTAACTTTTTGCTCACTAGTATCATCGGCAGTAGATTGCATTTGCCGATTATCAAAAGTAGTTTGTTGTTGCATTGTATAATCATCTTCAGGAATCCTGTTTATTTTAATTAAAATTAGTTTTAAAAAAAAATTAAATAGATTGTTAACCCAATACTTTCCAATTCATATTCTTCCATAACAGATTTGCTTCTTGGTACTGTGTTAACAAACTGTACCAATGGTTGAAAATTCAATGGAAAAGTTAGCAAAGATTCCTTTGTTTGTGAGACATTATCTTCTATGTTCTCTGGTGTTAAAGATTGAAAACTTAATGGAGAAGCTACAATTAATGATCATGAAGTACTGCTTCTTTCTGTATTATTAATTTGAACAATTTCATTAAAATCTCTATATCCATCGGATAAGTTATCGTTTTCATTTTCAGAAAGTTCCTCATCTTTAATGACGCCTTCAGGTAAATCTTCCTCCATATTAATATTATGTTGCTTCCATTCTTCAATTATATTAAAGTTGCATAAGGGATGTTGTCCAAAGACCAATTCATATAGTGTATGATTGGTAGGTCTGAAGCGACGAATATTCATAGAATCTAAAAAAATATATATATATTTAATAAGATATCATTAAATAATTATAAATTATTAATTAATATGCTTATATGTAACTATCGGAAGGCCAATGCTCTAATCTCTTTGATCATTGTCCTCCATCCATGCGGAGAGAACATTCTTTAGAGTTTTGTTAGAGTTTTCAATCATGCACTGTGATTGAGGGTGGCAAGGATGCCCATTTATTATATGAATTTTTTTCCATAGACTAAGAAGTTCATAAATAATTTGGGCAGTAAATTCCCGCCCATTGTCACTTTGCAATATATATAGAGCTCAAAGACAGTAAAAACAGAAAATAAAAATTCAGAAACTTCTGCTGCCTCTTTGGTATGTAATAAGCATGTCCATGAAAACCTCGTAAAATAATCACGAAGGTGTGCAATATACTGGTATTCCTTATCCAGATACTTTTCAAATGAAACAAGATCTACTTGCACACGTTGCAAGAATTTTTTTGAAATAATAGTCTCTCCGATAATAGGTGCTGGAAAATTTCTTTTTGTACAACATTGTGTACATTGAGCGACATATATCTTCACAAAAGATCAAGGAATATAAGCATATTGCTTGCTTATCTAAAATATAAACTAAATTAAAAGCTAGAAAGTATAAAATACTAACATAAATTAATAAACCTTATTTACCGCATCAAAGGTTTTTTTTGAACCAGAATGCTGATGGGTATTACCATGCATCCTTCCAAGGACAGAATAAAGATTTTGAAATAGACATATAGCCCAGTTTGGTTTATTATTTGAATTGGTATTCTTCATCTCCATTAGTTGAAGAATAGGGTTCTGAGATGTTCCAAGATCACATAAGTAAAAACTATTTTTTGCCGTTCCATTAGATATATTTGTAGGATTTTTTAGAATCTTAATAATTAAATCATAGTCTTCTTGTGTAATAATAGCTTTTCTTCGTTGCTTTGGATTACGGTTTGATAAAAATTCTGATACCAGTTGATCAAATGCGGCATGAGAAAAAAAAGGAAAATCTGCTTCTCTATCCATAATATTTGACATTGAATAATCGGTAAAGGGATAAATAGTGAATTGTGTATCTCAGAGACTTGTTCTATTGAGTAAGTTTATTTGATAATCGCTTTTTTTTTTGTTTAAAAGAAAAAAAAAAATACTAAACACATTTGATTTGTAATAAAATTAAACTTTTAATTAATTGCATCATATTACGAAAACTGTCATTTGCTTCGCTTTAACTATACACACTTTTTGTAACTGCGAACATTTAATTTAAATCACGATCGATCATTTATTTTCAATGATCGTACATACTTCAATCGACATTCTTCGATCCGGGTAACCCGTATAAGAATTCTAAATCGGGTTACCCCGATTCCTAATTGGAATAACCGGATTCTGGATTGGGCGGATTCCAATCCGGGGTACAACATATATATAAAAACCTCGATAGATTGATATTTATCAAGGTTTCGTTGGGGTGGTCGGTCAACTAATTAAATCAAACATATATGTAGACCCATAGTAAGCAATTTTTTAATACGGATGTATTGTTACACGAATGAATATCACTTTTCGATAGGAATTTATTATACGAAAGTGATAGATTTTTGAAATCTAACTCCTCTCGCAGTATTAGTTCCTCAAATTTAATAATAGTATGAAACGGATTAAAAAAGCATGCTTTTTAATTTGTCGTGAGGATTTTTCTTTTTGCATTTAAAATTTTAATAATTTATAGATATTTGTACAATCTAAATATACATTTATAAGATAGTAAAATTTTAAATGTAAAAAGAAAAATCATCACGACAAATTAAAAAGCACGCTTTTTTAGTTTGTTTCATATTATTCTTAAATTTGAAGAATTAAATTCTATTGAAAAGTGATATTCATTCGTGAAACAATACATTCGTATTAAAAAAATTGCCTAATTGTTTTTATTATGGGTCTACATATATGTTTGATTTAATTAGTTGACCGACCACCCCAAGGTTTCGTACCAAAATCTACATATACATATTGCTGCTACATATAGTTAGTTTTGATTTACTATAAATTGCTGACTCGTATATCCCCAGTATTTGTATTCGGGATTTTCAAAAAAAGTTTTTATATAGGAATGCTATAATTTTCAACACTGGTACTTTTATATCTTGGAGAGCTCTTTTGAAGAAATGATTTTCTTAAGCAAGAAATATATGTAAAGTATACAGATAATAATAACATTTTGAACATAATTATAACAATCATAATTCATCATGGATCGTAAATACTTTACTATTTCATTTACTTGGATTGTATTTTTTATCCTTGCGTATGTTGAAAAAACTCACGGGAAAAAATGTTATCCTGCTGGTGATCTTTGCACTCACTACAACAATTCTTGTGGTGCTAATATTACAAATGTTGCATGGAATGGGGGATGGAATGTTGCAAATTGGTTAGTATACCTCGATATGTCGATCGCTTCTCCGATTTCTGCTCCACAAGCAATTGGCCATTTTACCTTTAAAGATGACGTAGGTCATTCTTATAGATGGTATAAAAACCAGGCCTACCGAAAAATTAATTGCAATTAAATTATCACAAAAATAATTGAAACTCAATTAATGACGAAATAATTG